TCGCGTCTCCCTCCCCCCCCCCCCCCCCCCCCCCCGTCATTCTTGACGGGCAATTCTCTAGTAGTCTATAAATATACAGGATGTTTAATTGCATGCTGTGAATATATTGCATGTATGTACATATGCACAGTATATCTAAGCTTTCAGTGTGTTTCTTTTGCGAAGTAGGACTACACGAAATACTCTCCTAGCAATCTATCGACTTTTTTCTTTTAGAGAACTTTAAACTTTAAGATTAATGTACCCTGTGTGACACACATGCAAGGATTTTGATCCACGTTCTACATTTAATTGTAAGAGTATAACATTGGAGTTATAAAATTAACTTACTTTTCTTACCTATTTAGTGGAATTCCTGAGGTGACTCAAAGTATATTAAGCCTTAAAATTGCATTAGTAGTTCTCTAGCTTTTGGAGGTTTCTAGGTTTAAAAAATTGGCAACATTGGTCATAGATTTTTTTTCCTGTGTAGGCAGAAAAGGCAGGTTTAATATGGGTGTTAATTTAAATAACATAATTAAATGTTCACACCAAACCAGTTTTTCAGTCCAGAGACGTAGAAGGGCTAAAATAGAAGTTTTAACTTCAGATATGGAGACATTACCTCATCTTCCTGAAATAAATGCTACATATATGGAGATGATTTCCATGTGATAAAATATATTAATCTCTAATGATCGACACCTCACCTGCTTCCTACCCACTAAGTAATCTCCTATGAGACTTATATTAATATTACAAACTCATTGCTGCCACATTACCCCTGTCAGGTAGTTAGGAATAATCATAAAGTTCCTGATTTGACTCTCATGGTAGTGAATGGGAGTTAGTGGCCCAGAGAAAGGAACTTAGAGACAGTCATTCTTCACATGTGTCCTGAGATGTATGCATTCACTGTCCACACCAAGCAGCATGAAACTTAGGATAGGTCTAGGAAAGTGTAGACATACCTAGCCCCTTTGGGTAGTTTAGCCACGACAATGTGGAACTCAGCAAAGGCTGCAAAACCCACCCAAGAAGCTGGGTTAACACTGGAGTGGTTAGCCCATGCTGAGCTCCAAGTCTACAGCTAGACTTCTTGTAGTTTTTGAGCCAGTTGTTAGAAAGTGCCTGTGGTGTAGACATACCCTTATTTCTATTTAGTGACAACAGCTGTGGCTGGTGTTTAACTTTACTAATGCCCAGGGATGGACTTTGCAGTCTTTCCTTGGCACTGGGCAAGACCTTAAAGCAGCAGTTGGCAGTGTTTTGGAGTAGTGGGCTGTTTTAATAGAGTTTAGCTTTGAGCAGGGGCCTCTTCCAACCTGCCCACAATGTCACTTCTGCCGTCAGTGCTCCTCCCCTGCAATGCTACCACCCAGCAGCTGTGCAGGCAAAGCTCCTTGCTATAGAAACACTGTTAAAGTCCCCTCATTTTATTAAAACACCACAGAAGCCCCTGGCTTCACAGGCCAGATCTCACAGCTCACAAGCTGTAGGTTGCCAACCCCTGTGTCAGTGAGGTGCAAATTCAAAGGTGAAACTATCATTTGCATATGCTTTTTATCTTGAACAAAATTAAAGGTAAAACTTTTGGTGGTATCTGAGAAATTAGCCAGCTCTATATAAGTGCCTTTCTCTAGCAAAGATTTAAAGCGTTAAACTTGACTCTCTGCATTTAGCACAAAATTACACCCTTTCTATGTCCTATTTTATTTTAATCTACTTAGTGGGTGTGCAAAGAATTAAGTTTTGAAGTGATTATAAGACAAGACTAAAAGAACTATATTACTCTGTTAGCAGAATGAGGCTTAGAATATGGGCCAATTTTTGTGTCTGCTGTTATATAAAAGAAACACTTTTAATTTTACATAATGGAACTTTACAACTTTAAAAATAACATTATAAGACAAAGCTATGTCATTGGCATTTTGTCAAATAGGAGCCATCATCAACTCTGTGGGTATCTGCAGTCTTTGCCAAAACAGTAGCTACTACAGAATTCATTTGACTGATCTTAAGAGAACAACTCAATCACCACCAGAGGCTCTCTATTTCCTCTGTTTAATTGTTAATCAGAGTGCTGTAATATAAATACAGGCAGATGTACATAACATAAATTATCCACAGAGAGTGCTCAATCCATCACTACTAGAAACCATTTACTACATCTGAAGCAGTGTCATTTTTACCCAGTTCGGGCATATCCTTGTACCTGAAATGAGTTTCTGAGAATATCATTTGTTAATGAGACTCAGAAATGTAATTCCAGACAAGTTTTTATATTGATGCAATATATAAATCGTGACATGCTGTTATGTCGATGAGCCAAACAAATCAGAAGTTAATACATCAGGACACATCTTTGCTGTTTAGATATTTTTATTAAGATTGGCAAAAGGCACTCTCAATATTAACCATTAGTCTTAGAAATGGTAATTTGATTTTTACTGGTTTTGCAGCATTTTGTCTCTGAATGTCTCTGTATGCTCTTAGAAGTGATACCCCAAAGGCTAGGTACTGACAGTCAAAAAACTCAAGGCTGAATCAATTCAGTCTTTGCAGGTTAGTTTAAAATGCACAGATTAAACTGAAACAAAAGTGAACAGACAGTTACCTTTGATTCAGGAAATGCAGCCACATGCCTGCAGTGGCTCAGGCCAGAAGCCGAGGGAAGCACTACAGCACGGTTTGCTGGTTGTGAGTTCACTTCATTTTCTTGCTGTCCCTGAGGTCTCTGGGATTTGCAGTCCAGAATTACCGCAGCAGGACTCTGAAGGATTGCTCATCATCACTTCCTTTTCCTGCTTCTAGGTGCCTCTGGGACTCGTAATCCACAGTTGCAGCCAGCAGTAAGTTTGAGTAGGGGAAGCAGTGTTTAACCCCCCACCCTGGCCCCAGACTCCAGCCGGGTTTGCCGGGGTGGGAGGGCTGGGGCAGTCCCCCCCCGTAGCCTGGGCTGCATGGGCTTGCTTCCCCCAGCCTCTTGTCAGCCAGCTCTCACTGCTCCAGCTGGGAAGCAGAGGGGCAGACAGCCCAGCCCAGGGCTGGAAAGCATGCTGGGATGCAGTGGGACTCTGATTTAACTTGAACCAGGATGGGGTCTGGGACAGAATTTTCATAAATCGGTTTGACCCAAATCAGTTAAGTTTGATACTACATTCAACCAGGTTTATCTTGAACCAGTTTTAGCCATTTTGAAACTGGTTTATGAGCA